ACCCATCCATACCCCACTGGTGTTCCTGGAAGAGGTGATTCACATTCACTGTTTGGTGCTTGGCAGCAGCCACTGTCTCCAATAGCAGAAGATCCTGAAAGGATCATTTTTTGCAGAAATATTCCAGTGGTGGATGGTGAGCAGAAGTTCCCTCTCGTCTCTGCATCCCAAAGCTTGATTCCATCTTCCATCCTGCTGGGATTTTTTGAAATGTGCTTCTAAGGAGCCTTTATTCTCTGCTCATTGCTGGTATCTCCAGGTGTCTGCGTTATCTGATGTTTGTTTTCCAGGAAGAAAAAGGAACTAATCAGTCTAAAACTTAAAAAATATAGCATGTTAGATAGGTTAAAAAAAATTTCCTCGGTACTTCCATTCTCTGTGAGTAGTGGGTATAAGTGGTTAACCAGGGAAATTGTATCAATTTTAAATTTAACATAGCTGCTGTAAAAAAAAAAAAAAGTTTTATCTTATTTGGGTTTGGTTTTATATTAAAAAGAAAAGTAAAGAAATGACCAAATATAAAAAATTCTGGGTATTTGGTCTCAGTGGTCCTGGTAGGAACAAGTAGAAAGCTTATGCCCCGTTGGTGGTTTTCCTATCCATGGAATTCAGAAAATTTTATCCTAATAAAATTTTATTGTTAACAATTGATAAAACTGAAAAGCCAGTTGCGTTTTAACAAAGGTTCTTATTTCCCTGGTTATAGAATTCAAAACTTTGGTGTCACCAAAGCAACTCCATTCCTGAAATATGCCTTATTTTATTTGTTGGTCAAGGGGTCGAACCTTCACGAGTTGTGCCGAGTGCTTTTCCTCATCCTTAGTTCTCCTTTGCTTTTTTAACAGCTCCTGCATTGTTGAAGTGGGTTTTTTCAATAAATAAAAGATGTTCCCAGAGGCAGCAGATCAGGCTGATGGTTTTGCCTTTTTGGGGGTGATCTGGATTTTCTGTCTGGGGCAAAGTCCCTCAGCTGCTCCCAAGCAGGTCCCTGTCACTCCTTTTTGATGCCCATTTTCAATTCTGGTGTTCCCTCAGCCAGGACAAGCAGGGGGAGAGGTGAGGCTGGGAACAGTGAGCAGTAAAATGTCATTTATTGGTGGACAGTTCAGTGCCTGGTTTGCTCTGAAGGTCTCTCCCAGGAAAGCTGCAGCTGACTGCTCATGCCACTGGAGGGAAACCACAGCACAGCCATGAGCTCTGAGCATCTTCAGGGGCAGTGCCACATAGTTTTGGTCAGTTTTGCTGATGGAAATTACCTGTTACGGGCTCCAAAAACGCTGCCAGATGACGCAAGACTAAAGGAAGGGCTTAAAAAGATGCGTGGGATTGGCTGGGACAAATATTATGACCCTTTTTTTTTTTTTTTTCCCTTTCAACTAAAATACGTTTCTGGCTGTGCTTTTTCCTGGAGTTGTTTTAGTCTGGAGACTGTTCCTAGCTGGGAATGCTCCATTGTTACTGACACAGGGCAGAGAAACAATGCTGTTCCAGTAGCTCCTTGCCTTTCTTGTACTGAGGAGCAAACTTGCTGAGGGTACATTCTGTCCCTTCATCCTGGAAATTCTTTCTCTCTGTCCTTGGCTTTGGCTTATCTGAACTCACTCTGAATTTAATGAGCTTGTCATTCCTGACCTGTCTTGGAGAGGATGTCTCAAGATTTCTACCTCTGTAGATCACTGGGCATCACTAAATAGCGACCTTGTTACCTGCTTGGAGGGTGTTTGTGTTGGGTTTAGATTGGATATCAGGCAGGAAGGAATTCTTCCCTTTGAGAGTGGGGAGGCCCTGCCACAGGTTACCCAGAGAAGCTGTGGCTGCCCCATCCCTGGAAGTGTCCAAGGCCAGGTTGGATGGAGCTTGGAGCAACTTGGGATAGTGAAAAGTGTTCTTTCCCATGGCAGGGGGTTGGAATGAGATGACCTTTAAGGTCCCTTCCAAGCCGAGCCATTCTGGGATTCTGTGACACTGGAAGAAGAGGGTCCCCCGCTGTCAGGATATTCTGTCATCTTGAAACTGTTTGAATTTACAAGAAGGCAAGACAGAAGGCAGTTCATTACTTATGAAGGCAAGAAAGTGAAAATAAGGATTGTTTCAGAAGAATCTCTATTGCTTTTAAGTGCTTAGAGGAACTGATGCAAACTACTGAATGCTTGGGGAAAGGAAAACCTATCCTGGACACTCCTTGCTGATTTTTGGGAGCAAATGACACATGGGGTACATCTCAAGAAGGAAATAGATATTAATCTCTTAGTTGCTCCTGCCTTGCAGTGCTATGACTAGACCTGGAACATTAAAATTTTAGTGATGTGTCATGGAACAAACCTTTCCTGCTGGTTTTCACTCCCTGCCTCCCCAAAAAAAACCTGGAAGGACTCAGGAAAGAAAGAAAGAAACAAACAAATGTTTTATCAGGGAAAGAGATGAACCCTGTCTTTGGTTGGCAAAGTGGCTACTGAGAAATTTCTTTGCTTTGTGGATTTTCTCTGAGTATTAGTGAGAAACCTGATTTTGCAGGAATAGTTTCAGAATGTGGTGTTGCTGAACGCCCTGAAGTATGAAATGATGCCCTGAGTGAAGTCAGAGTCATAGGAATATGATGCAGAATTCCTTTTCTATGCTACCTCCACAAGTCACAGAGCCAGCAGTGAGTAGTGTTGTTGCTTTCTGATGATCAGGCAGTGACCAATAAACTTGCTCTGGGAGGTTTGTTGGGCCAGTAGAACAAGAGACAGAAAATGATTGGTCGAAGGTGGTTCTACCAGACTCTGATCTCTGTCCCACTAATGTGGTGTTTCTCTCTCCAGAAACATCCACCTGACACTTTTTTGTCCCTGATAAATTCGCAACAGAAATAGTTGCTGGTGCAGGCACTGCAGTGTGGAGAGGAGCTGCATACTCGGAGTGTCCATCCCAGCAGGTGCATGGCATGGACACAGGGACTGCCATCAGGATGTGCCACCACCTGCCTTTGCTTCACGTACCTTGTGGGTTCCACGTGAAACCCAGGGTAGGAAAATTGCAGTCTCTGGAGAAGGAAACACCTGCCTTTCCCCTGCTGCAACTCTCCAGCCAGGTGAGCTCGGAGCTGGGCTTCCTTCTGGGTCCAGTCTAGTGGTGAGTCTCATCCAAAAAAACCCCCATCCCTCAAGGGGCTGTGCCTCAGTCTCCGGGGAGTGCTGGGAGATGAGTTTACTAATCCCTGGGATGATACATAGTGATGAAGCAAAACCCTGTCAGGCTCCAGCTCCAGAACTGAGTCAAAGCAAGTTACAAATCATCAGAATTAGTTTGAAGAGCTACAGGGGATTGAGATAAGCTCGCAGTAAAATTAAAAACCATTTTAGAGTGGTGTGTGAAACTCAGCCTGTCACCTGTTCTGTGTAAAGTGCAAATAAACACAGCCAAGACCCTGCTGTCGGACCAGAGTTCTGACCCCCCCTTGGCTCCTGCTGGAGTCTGAGGACTTTCTTTAACCTTGGTAGGTGGAAACTGAAATTACTGGAAGGAGATTTGGATTCTTCCTGACCATCAAGGTTTCCTTATTCTGGGTATCAGAGAACTAGGTTTGATTTTCTTGGTGAATGGTGTGTTTTTCTTGTAGGTTTGATCTTTAAATGTTAAGAATGAAGTCCAGGAGAGTCTCCATCCTCAGCCCCACTGACTGACAGCTGGAGGTGAGAGGCTCCTTCCCCTCTTGCAGAAGGCAAATGCAGGGTTGTTAATTCTCTGTACTGATCTGCAAAATGATGTGGCTGCTCCTGGGGAGAAAACCACCCTGTCCTCTCAGGTCCTCACTGTGGTTCCCCCACATTTCCAGAGATTCTGCATTTGTTTTTTTGAGCATGTGATCTGGTTTTGACTCTTCACCAATGCCTGTTCAGAGGGGGGAGCAGGCAGCAGAGCGTGCTCTGCCCAGCACTGTACCTGCAAGGCTGAGTTCGGTCTCCACTGAAATCCTTGAGGTCCCAGACTTACAGCAGTGCCACCTGTAAGGGATTGAAGTGCTGACCCCCTCAGCTGCTGGATGTTGGTACCTGTGAGTGTTACAGCTGGACACGGTGTCCTCCTCGCTGCTCCCCACAGGACAGAGCTGGAGCTCTGAGCCGCCTTTAGGAATGCAGTGCCAAAGCACTGAGGTCGGGGCTGTTTTGGCAGGCTCGGTGACCTCGGAGGGTGAGGGACTGGGATGGGGTCTCGCTCCAGAGCCCTTGCAGAGCCAGGGGGATGATCCCCACAGCCAGTTCCACCGCCTCCAGCCCGGGCCCGAATCGGCCCCTCTGGGCTGTCTTTGGGGGGCGCAAACTGTGCCCCGACAGCGAGAGGCAACTACTGTTACTGGGAAGTTATTTGGCATTTACAGCCCCAGGGAACGGGGCTCTAGCGGGGGAATTTCCCTGCCTTTCCCCTGCCAGAAAACAATTCCACACCGACCTCCTGTAGAACCTACAGAGCTTTGAAAAACTATGCTAATCCTACCTGCCTCCTTCCTCCGCACAGGCAAAAGCACTTGATCGCCCCGAGAGCTTCACTTCTAGAGGCAAACGCAGAAACGAGAGCGAAAGCGGCGCTCGGGAAAAGGGGGGAGCGCCGGGACGGGAAAGCGGAGCCGGTCCCGCCGCAACGGGGGGTCGGGAAGGCTTCGGGATCCGGGATGGAGTCACGGGGGACGGGAGAGATGGGAGGGGGGCCGGGACGGAGCAGTCGCTTGCGCAAGAGGGGTCTCTCCCACGAGGGGAGGGAAGGGGAGGAAAGGGAGACCCTGGCTGCTGCCCCACCGCTTCACCCGCTTCTGCTCCCCCTCGGGCTGGGGGTGACTTTCCCTCACCCAGGGCGATTACGCGTGTCGGGCGCTGCGTGGGTGTGCGGTCAGGGCCTCCCACCCGCAGCCTCTATAAGGCTCAGCTCCGTCCCCGGGCTGGGAAGAGCCGGCATCTCCCTCGGAGGAAGGGCTGACTCGGAGGAAAGCAGGCGAGGAAACCCGGTCTTTCCCAACAGCCCTTCCTTATCAGCTCCTCCCAACAGCCCTTTCCTATCCGCCCTTCCCATTCTCCCGCTTTCTGCTTTATTGCTGGCCGGCTGGATTGGCCCCGCTGCCGCCGAGAGGAGCTCCAGCCCAGCCGGCACCAGCCCCTGAGAAACCTTCTCTGTCTCCTCAGGTTTGAGATCCCGGCGCTCAGGAGCCCCGCGGTGTGATGCCATCCTGCCACATGCCGGGTTCGAGGCATCCGTCCAAGGTAGAGTATCGTCTGCTCGTCAGGCTGGGCACACGTGCTTTGAAAAGGAAAGGGAGGATATACAAGCTCTGGGATTCTCCAGTGCTATCCTGAGCATCTGTGTTTCCAAAAAAAAAAAAAAGTCTTAAGGGTTCCACTGGAGCATGCTATGTGTTTTCTAGTTTGGAAAACTTCCCTTCTGCTTCTTGATCTGCCAAGGTCTTTCTTACCCCAAAGAGAGGGAACTGACCGGGGTGAAAGAGGGGAATGTACTGAATGACCTGCTTTGAGTTCTGAAGGAGGGGTTATGAGGCATCACAGATGGATTTGGGAAGGATGCTCTGTCACCTGTGATGGCAAGGGGGGGAGCAGTGGGGAGGCACCGGGGGCAGCAGCTCCTCCCCGGTACCACCGATGGGGCTGGGGACAGCACAGGGGAGGGAGGATAACCTCTTGTACCTCCAACAATAACAAGTTCTGTAACAGCAGCAGCCGCGTTTGCTGCTCCCGCCTCTGCCAGAGGACGAGCTCAGGGCTCTTTGCGCTGTCTTTGCCGTAGTGGATGTTCCCTCCCCTCCTTCTATTCCTGGCTGAGCTCGGCTGCAGCGCCCAACCCACGTACCCATGGAGGGACGCCGTGACGAGCGAGAGGCTCACGTGCCAGCAGTGCCCGCCGGGGACCTTCGTGTCGCGGCACTGCAGCAGGGACAGCCCGACCGTGTGCGAGCCCTGCCCGGAGCTGCACTACACGCAGTACTGGAATTACCTGGAGAAGTGCCGGTACTGCAACGTGATCTGCGGGGAGAAGCAGGTGGAGGTGCAGCAGTGCGATGCCACGCACAACCGCGTCTGCCAGTGCCAGGAGGGGTACTACTCGGACATGGAGCTCTGCATCAGGCACTCCGAGTGCCCGCCGGGCTCCGGCGTGGAGAAACCAGGTAAATACCCAGACAGGCGGTGCTGTGCATGCTCACAAGGCTCTTGTCACATCCCAAAATCCCCGCTGGAGCTAAAAGTCAAGGAGAAATACAACAATCAGTGCTTGCCCATAGCCTGACCTACTCCCTTTCAGCTCACTGTCACACTGCCATCCTCTCTGGCATGTGAAACCGCTCCTACTTTTTTTTTCCTTGGAGGAATTTGGTTGGGTTTTTCCCCAACTTTCACTTTGAAAGCCTGTGAAATCCCCAGCACGATACTTAGGTGGGACGTGGCAGTCCCAGGTACCTGCCTCACCTGCAGCAACAGGCTGTGACTTGCCCATCCTCGGAGCAGCTGCTGGCCCTGTGCGGCTCTGGACAGGTGGGAAGGTCCAAGTTGCTCCTGCTCCTCCAAGAGGTCCCTTCTGCCTGCATCAGGTAGCCCAGGAGCTGGGAATGTTGATTGTCTGGACTGAAAAAGGTGGCTGATGATGCAAGGGCAGGGCTGGTGGATGTGTGTAACCCTGGGGCTGGGTTTTGTGGGTTTTTGTTGAGCAATTTGGAGAACACTTTGTGTTGAAAACATGCAGTGGATACATGGCCAGGTTCCAAACCAACCCATAAAATCAGCCTTATTTCGATTCATGAGTCTGAGACTCCATTTCCTTCTGTGACGTAACTCCCAAGAGATTTTAGGGGCTTTATTTTCCCATTGTTTCCCCAGTGCAGATTTCTCTGGTCCCTTAGTTGCTCTGTGTGTGTATGTGCAAACTGTCTGAAAATACAAGCTGTCTGCAAGTGGCTTTCCCTCTTTTCCCTTTTTCTTGCTCCCTCCTGCTCACCAAGGACCAGGGTCTGCCTGGAAACCACAGCTGGGTACAAACAAACCAGCATGGGCAGCACCAGCAAACCCAGCAGTATCTTGCTTAATGCTTTGAAGTGGGGAGGCTTTTGAAGTGCAGAGGCTTTTGAAGTCCTTCCATCCATGGCATAGAAGAGCTCCAGGCTCCCCTGCCAGAGGAGAAATACCTGTTGTCTTCAGCTGATGCTGAAGGTTGAGGTTTGGGGTTTAATTTTCTGTAGGACATGACAAAATGCAGCAATGCAGTGAAAGGAGAAGTAGGTCTCCAAGCAATAGAGGGAAGCTCTTTGAAATTAAACATGACATTTGTCTGGAGGGTTGGCTGCAGGACTGAGGAGCTGTGTGAGCAAGCTGGGCATTTGAGGAGAAGCAATTTTTTTTGTTGTTGTTGTTATTATAATTTCTTTTTTACAAATGGCTTCTTGTGCAGGGAAGACTGCACCCCAACCCAGCCACCAGAACCCCACAGCAAAGACCCCAGGGCTGTCAGTGCTGGTGTCTGGATGGGGGGTTTTGATCCCCCTGGGGGACATCAGCCTCTTTGGGATTTCCCGTTTACAAGTAGTGGCTCAGGTGTTGGGGTCATAGCTGGGCTGGCTGGGACTTAGAATCATAGAATGGTTTGGGTTGGAAGGGACCTGAAAGATCAGACTTCTCTTAGGAAAGCCAAAGCAACAGCTCAAAGTGGGGTGTGACAAGGTAGAAATTGTGTTTGTAACTAGATTTGTGAAAAGAAGGTGAAAGGGGTGTGAAATCTGCTGTGTCAGGGCCCCTCCCTCTGCTCCCAGGGAACGTGCAAGACGCCTGGTGCAATCCTGGCTGCGTGGCACTGTCCCTGTGACACCACGGGCAGGGCTGGCCCGGAGCCGGTGTGGGAAGTGACAAAGTGCTTTCATCTCCTCAGTGACTTTTACTTTCACTTGGCTGGGAGCCTCTGGCTCCACTGGGAACTGAAGGGCTGGTTTGGCAGCTCAGCCACTGGCCCTTTTCATAGCAGAGGAGGTGTCCTCTTGTGTCAGGAGGCTGGTGAAAATTTACCAGCACGGGCTTGGGAGAAGGCTGGGGAAAGCATTGCTGTTCGCCCCGCACAAGGACGTGCAGTGCCCAGGGGAGCTACCGGCAGGGATCATTTCCAAAACATCACCCTCACAACTCCAGTGGTGTCTGGCATCAGCTCCTGCCTCTGCTCCCAGCTGGTCACCTGACAGTCCCCTGGTCTTTCCGTGCACAGGTACCCCCTTTGAGGACACCAAGTGCCACGAATGCCCCCCCGGCTCCTTCTCCTCCAACTCCAGCACTGCCCCGTGCCAGCCACACCAGGACTGTGAGCAGCAGGGGAAGGTGACCAACGTTCAGGGCAACAGGTTCCACGACACCTTCTGCACCTCCTGCAGACTGGGGAGAGGCAACGCCACACAGGGACCAGGTGAGCCGCGGCTCTGTGGGCACAGGGGGTGCCAGGACAAGAGCAAACTTCCTGGTGATTTTCTCCTGCTTAGATGCAAATTGAGGTCGCAAAATATTTGGAAATGGTTTGTAAAAGTATGGAGTGATCCATAATTAATAGTAATTACAGATAGAATATAGTCTGTCTGCCTTCCTCCCCCTCCAGTGTCAGTCCCGTAGTGCAAGGACAGGTTGGCAGTGGCCACCACTGGGTGAGGGCGAAGAGCTGGCAGTAAAATCCTGCTGGATCTTACCAGGAACAACTGGAAATGCTGGGACAGGAGGACAGTTTTGGCAGCCTTTTGACTGTAGCTGATAACTGGTGTCTGATGGCCAGGCAAACAGCCAAGGTGTGAAGAGCTGAGGCATCCAGCTTGGCTCCTGGCATGGATCCTGGGCTCCCTTTTCCTGGGCTTCAGCCTGTTTTCCGGAAGCTTTTGTTGCAGCATAGCCTGGTCTCGTGCAGGCTGAACAGAGCAGAGTCCAGGGTTAATCAGAGCTGGATTTAGGGTGGATTTTGACCTGTCAGCTGAAAAAGTAGAGACATGATGTCAACCTCGTCAACACAGTGGTATGGATGAGCCTCAGTGGAGGTGGAGGGTCAGGCAGGAGCAGCCACTGGGCACAGATCAGAGAATCCCAGAACCCTGGGTTGGGAGGAGACCTCGAGGACCATCTGGTCCAACCTTTCCTGGCAAAAGAACAGGTGCAGGGCAGAGCAAAGGGGTGATTTGTGACAGCGGAGGGGGCTGTTTTCCCCATCAGCTCTCGCCTTTCCATCCTCTCCTGGCACCACCAACCCAGACATTCCTCCTTACAAATCCTGACTCACACCATGAGTTCCCTGCCAGGAGCATGATCCCTCTGCAGAGAGATGGAAAGCTCTGTCATCAAGCAGGACACGGTCCCGGGTGTGGGGAGGGGTCAGGTGGGAGCAGCGTCAGCAGCACATGCGTCAGACAACGGCCCCACAGCCAGACCAGCCCCTTGCAGCTATTTATAGAGGAGAGGAGGCCCCAGCAATGGGAGTTGAAGGGTATTTTTAAATCTAGTTCGTCATGATTCCGCTCAGGAGGCACACAGGGACCTGCTCATCATCAGCCTGAGCAGTGGAGTCCAACCCACCCACTATAGCCAGTGAAACTGTTCCCAGTTTGCAACAGCACGAAACTGAGCTAATCTCTCTCTCCTTGATTGAGTAATCCTTTGGCCTTGGTCTCTTGAAAATTCTTTGTTTTCATTCCTTGTGCTGGATGCCCTCCAGCAGCTTCCACAAGTTGGGGCCGGATCTGTCCCAGTGCCCTGATTGGGGCTGCGCTCGGGGCTCGTCCTGTCACGAGATGTACAAATCTGCATGGGAGAACAGGAACTCACGGGAAAAATAATGCGTAAACACTTAGTGCAATTACTCCTGATTTTTCTGAACTTTCCCTCTTCCTCTCCTCCCCGAGGGGGAGGAGCCTGGAGTAGGTACATTTACTTTTTTTTCCAGAATTATAGGAATGTTTTACATGTTGTTTTCCAACTGCCACGTGTAGCAGGGATCACTGGCGGGAAGTTCAGCCTTCTGCTAGAACAGGTTGCTCCAAGCCCCATCCAAGCTGGCCTTGAACACTTCCATGAACCACCACCTCCCCGGGCAGATGTCCCATGGAGGGGCTGGGCAGGGCTGTGTCCTGCTCTCCCGTGTCCCAGGCTTGCTCCCCTCTAACTTCCAGCTATTTTTCCCCCCCACCAGCTGTAGAGGACGACGACTGCGAGCAAGCCATGATCGACTTTGTGGTGTATCAGAACATCCCCGTCAAGAAGCTGAAGCGCCTGCAGCAGATCCTGGAGCGCTCGCCAAGGAAGCACCAAACATGGACCAGGGCAGCCATCCAGGAGAAATTCCGGACTTTCCTCACTCACAAGAAAGAGGAGCACTACGAGGTCACCAAGGAGCTGCTGGACGCGCTGCGCGTTGTCAAGCTCCAGTCCATCGAGGAGAAGGTCCGCAAGCGCTTCCTGCTGCCCTGAGAGCACGAACCGGAGCAGTGTCCCTACATCAGCGCAGCTCCTGAGAGCTCTCCAGGTGTTGGCCACTGATTTTCCAGCCCAATGTTTTATCAGAAGAAAAACCTGCACCCAGGGTCATTATTCCTGCGAAGAACCCAGTCCTCTTTATAGAAAACTGTCTGGCTTTGTTTTAAACTGTGTAAGTTTGGGGTTGTTGGAGAGTTTAGTTATGCAACAGCATTTTCCACAGAGGATTCACTTACATTTGTTTGTCACGCTTTTGTTTGAGAAGAGAGTTTGCTGCTGAGGCACAGGGGTGAGGGAAGATGTCCCAAAGTCACTGGTAGACCCAGCTTGAAATGCATTTCTTAACTACCTACTTTTACACTGTGTGTGAAAGTCGTTTTCTAAAGAAAGAAACCAAAGAAGTTATTTTATTGTACAATTCTCTGTCACCAGAGTCCCTTCCTAGTCTCATTTGGAGGTGATGTTGGGAGTCCCAGACTGTCATATCTGACCCTGCTTACCCTTGCCTGTTTTTTGCACATACTTCTCCCCATGCTGGCATCCCTGCTCATGGCAGGGGGTTGGAATGAGGTGTCCCTTCCAGCCCAAACCATTCTGTGATTTGGTGATCACACACCACCAACCACCCCAGAGCCCCCCAGCTCCAGCCCCTGTGAGCCCCAGTAAGGCCGTGTGCCAGTGGGATGCAGTCTGTCTGCACTGGGACTTGTGGCCAAGGTCAAGCTCAGGTCTCTTGGCTCAACACAACCACGTCCCCTCTGAGCCCCAAGTTTGTTCCCAGACCCAATCAGACACTGCAGCAAGTGAAGAGTTAGTCAGTCAAGAACCAGGCTTGGGGCACTTGTGCTGACTGCAGGAGGGTTTTTTAAGCAGATGTTGCTTAGGAAAGTCAACAGGAGTGACCCCCTCAGGCATTTTCCAGCCTGTAACAATGATGATGCAGAGTTACATTTGCCTTGAGTGAGTTGGACTTTTTATAGCCTTTTTTAACTAAGCAGTTGCCAGGAATAGTTTGTGGTTCAAAAGAGGAATATTTTCCCCCAGCTTGGACCTATTTAAAGCTCTCTGAAGTGTGTGCTATGTGGAAGTGCCCCCGCACTTCCCCCATGTAAGGAAACTGGGGGGAAGCTGAATAACTGAGTACAGGAGGGGATTTTAAACTCCCCTCGCTGCCCACAGACACATCCTAGGCTCTTCCTGCTGCAGTGACAAGTTTATCCGTGGCAATCTGGATGAACAGGGATGATCCCAGGGGGCAGTTCCTGCCTATTTGATGCTCCATAGCTCCATAGTCTCTGGGGGTCTGCTCCCACCTGCCTGGCACCACGGGCTTGAACTGGGGATCCCAGTCTTGCAACTATCTCATCCCAATTTTGGGCTCTGGGAAGCAGCTCAGTGATCCTGTTGATGCCCTGGGCCAGTTCACCAGGGACAAAGAGAAGCAAATGGCTCAAAAGCAGCAGAGGGGATCCTTCACTTGCACCTCTGTGTTGAGCCAGGACCGATCCTGGCAATCCCCTCAGTCCTGGCAATCACCTTGAAGCTTCCTCAAGCCTGGCCTTGAAATCCTGCCAGGGAGCTTCACAGGGCTTCCCAGTGCTCAGTTAACACCACATCTGATCTCTGCCCTTCCCAGTTGCTTTATCCCAGTGGGATGAAGCTCAGTCCCCAGGTGTCACTTACTCCAAGTCCCTTGGCAGGAGAGAAGTGCCGCTGGCACAGGCCGGGAGCAGTTGGGACAGGAGATGAAGGGGATTTCCTTCGGAGCACTGTGAGAGTTGAAGCACAACTGCAGCAGCTTGCTCTGAAGCAGAGTGCAAGGCATGATGCCCAGAGCTGATGGATTGAAGGCAGGAGCAGCTGGAGCCTCCAGTGTTGGCTGTGGCTCCTTGAAGGATTCCTATCCCGCTGCATTGTGGTTAGTGCTGACTCAGCATGAAGGATTCGGTGTCCTCAGTCTGAAATGGAACAAGAACAGAGGGTTGTTGGCGCAGATACCACCTCCTGTTCTTCATCCACACCACCGTGGCTTCTTCAAATAGGTGGAAGTTGAGGGGGAGGGAAAATGGGAATATTATTGGCAAGAAGCTGATAATCCTTATCTTAGATCTTGGTTTAGTTGGGTGACTTGAAGAGAAAGAGGGACCTTTTCTGTGTATTTTTTGGTGACAGAAGACCTCAGTGCTGAGGTGGAAGTCCCTGTGGGGCCTGGTGGCTGAGCTGAGGGTCCTGGGACACTTCATGTGGTCCTTGGAGTTTGCTGCCCTTCTCACCAGCAAGGCAAAACCTGGGGTGTGGGCTGGAGGCTTCCAGCAGCTACACAGAGAGCCAGCTCTGGTCCTTGGGCTCCTGGATGAGCTGTGGTTGTTCTGGCAGTGTCTCATGTCTGGGGGCCCTGTGGGAGTCTGGGTCCAACCAGGCACTGGCAGAGGTGGAAGCAGAGTGGTCTTGGAGAAGAGCCCAGGAAATGTTTTTTTTTTTCTGCTGAACGTTGATGGAGAGGAGGGAAGTTTCAGGGCTTTTTTTTAATTATTTTGGGGGGTTTTACAAACCATCATGAGTGCTCTGTCCCATCTGGACACCACAGTCTGCACAGGCCCTTTGTCCCTTCAGATGGAGCAGATGCAGCAGATGTTTTGACAGGCTTGCTCTCACCCTGAGGTTTGCCAAAGTTCATGGCCCGCAGCTGTGACTCCGAGGGGTTAAACATCTCATGTAGGTGTGGAAGGGAGAGGAGAGCCTTGGCTACTTCTCATCTTGCTGAGAAGTGATGCCTTGCTGAGCCTCGTGGCCCTCCCAGCACGAAGTGTGGGCCCACCGTGTCTGACCCCTCCTCGGAGGGGGATGACGGATGTCTGGCACCCGTGTGCTGTGCCAGGTTGCAGTGGGGACCACAGACCTCGGCTTGCCAGGGCAGGAGAGGGTGATTAATTAACTGGGAATGGCCCAGATCGTGTCAAAGAGCTCTGCACTCCCAGGTCCCCCCCTGCTGCCCCCAGCCAAGGGGCTGGGAAGGAGGTGATGCCCTGGGCCACCAGCAGCTCTCTGGCTCGGTTCCACCAGTGTAATTGCTCTGCCAGGGTGTCTCCTGATGCTGAGGGGGTTTGGAGCCTCTATCAGGTCTCCCCCTGACTCAAGTCCCCTCATTGCTGAGTCAGCTGGAATTTGTGTGCCAGGAAGTTTCTCACAGACAGGGTGACTGGGAAGGTTCTGGTAAATATTGACCATTACGACAGTGGCCAAACAGCCCAGCACGTGAGTCAAGCTCAGCCTCCAGGAAACAAACGGGCTTTGCTGGAAAAGCCAGGGTGAGCTTTTCCATGAGCACTGCATGGTGCCAGCCCCAGCTCCTCCCTCCTCTGCTCCCACCAGCTGACACCCAGACTGCAGCAAGCACTCCCAAACCACCCTTGGGCTGATCATGAGGTATTTCACCTTTTCAGCTAATTGAAGTCAAGAGGATGAAAACCCCTTTTAGTTTCCACTGAAGTTTCCAAAGCCCGGAGAGAGAAGAGGAAGAATCAGCAGCATGAGCTTTTTTTCCTGATGGTTTAAATGAGTCTTCCCTCATAAACTCCAGCTGAGGACAGCACATGGTAACATCCAAAAGTGGATGCAGTGCTCTCGCAGGATGACTCAGATATTTAGTACACAGAAGATAATTTTCCAAATGCTTACAAGCACTACATAGAAAGCCCAAGCCCATGCTGCCCTCCACGTCAGGCTGTTAAATGATTAAAACGGGATAACCCCCTATGATTAGCTGGTTTAAAGTGCTGAGGTGGGTTAGGTCGGTGCCGTGGGCTCCCTCAGCACCTCTCACCACAGCCAGGTGTGGCAGTGACTCAGGTTGGTGGTGATGCCTCAAAGCCCACAGTGCTGGCGGCAGGAGCTGACGTGCTCCCGGCCTGCTCGTCACAGGAGCTGTCAGAACACGTTCCTCTTTTTGGGAGGAGAGTGCTGGTCCAGCTCCAAGGGCTTGGAGCGGGTGTAGATGAGTGACTAATGTGAGTGGAAGGAGTCACAACAGTTTTTTCTGGTGAGGTCACACGTCGGTGGCTCATGCCTTGACCTCGCAAGCGCGGGGAGCTGGGATTGCTGGAGGGGAGCAAGGGGGGGATCCTCTGAGGTGTGCAGGGGGATGCAGAGGGGATGGAACCAATGCAAGCACATAATCCACCTTGTGAAAGCAGCCTCCAGCCCTCTCAGCCCTGGGGTTGCCACCTCATCACAAGATGGGTAAATTCACTCTCCTGCCTGCAGATTTCCCCGTGTTTTCGTCCTTGTCCCCACCCTGCCGTGTCACTCAGCGGTGACAGTGGGCTGAGCCCTCCCAGCACCATGGGAAAGGACTCAGGGAGTGCTGGCACACACCAAACTTTAAATTCTCCCATCACTATTCCAGAGGCGCTGGTTTTGTCTTGTTTTGAAGCACATTTCTAATCTTTCTGCTCTGGTGAGCAGTGACAGACAGGGAATGGCTGGAGCTGTGTCAGGGGGTTTAGTTTGGATATTAGGAAATGGTTTTTCACCCAAAGGGTGGTTGGGCACTGAACAGGCTCCCCAGGGTCACAGCCCCGAGGCTGCCAGAGTTCAACAGGCATTTGGACAATGCTCTCAGGCACATGCTGGGATTGTTGGGGTGTCCCGTGCGGGGCCAGGAGTCGGACATGATGATCCTTGTGGATCCTTCCAGCTCAGGATATTCCATGATCCTATTTGTTCAGACACTTTTTGGCTCCCCTGACCTGGCTCCCAAGGTACTCAGACCGTAAAGCTCAGGTTCTGGGCACTGTCTGCCCTTAGCTTGAATAAAATCAGAAAACCTTCTGATGCCCTTTAACTTATGGGAGTTTTGTGGGTAACACTGTCATGGTCACAGCTAAAATATCTGTACACAACACCCTCGCTGCTTAGAACCACAACACGCCCTTGGTGTGTTATTGTCTGGGTCAACGGGAGACTTCCCTGAGCAACAGTTTGCTTGCCCTTGAAAACAAAG